ACTGCTCAATCTATCCTCACAAGACATGCCTTTCATCTCTGGAATTAATCTAGTGAACCATCTCTAAACTGCTTCCAATGCAATTACATCCTTCCTCAAGTAAAGGCACCAAAACTACACAGCACTGAAGGTGTAGTCTCGTCAATGCTTTGTATGATTGTTAACAACGCTTCCATACTTCAATCTTGATTTCTTTTAAAACAAATACCAAAATTCCATTTGCTCTCCTTATTACCTGCTGTAGCTATTTGCTTTGTGCAACTCAAGCATAAGGACACCCAGATCTCCCTGCACTGAAGCAGTTCGAGGTTTCTCTCCATTTAGATAACAAGTTGCATTTTGTTCTTCTGTCCGAAATGGATAAGCTCACACTTTATTCACATTAAAATACATCTGCCAAATTTTGGGTGCATTTACCTAACCTATCCACATCCATTTATATACTTCTTATTTCTTCGTTGCAATTTACTTTCCCAACTTTCTTACTGTCATCTGCAAACCTGGCTATAGTACATTTAAGTCCTTCATATAGATGGATCTAAGTCATTAATATAGATTGTAGGTAGTTGGGGCCTCGAGGACCCAGCTAGTTACAGCTTTGCCAACTAGAGAAGGACCCATTTATTCCGACTCTGCTTTCTGTTGGTTAGTCAATCCTCTATCAAGGCCAACACATTCCCTTAATCCCATGTAATCTCACCTGTGCATTAGCCTTTTGTGCATCACTTTTTCAACTGCCTTTTGGAAGTCCAGATATGCAACATCTAGAGAACTCCCATTATCCGTGTTGCTTGTTACACCTTCAAAGAACTCTAGAAAATTTGTCAAACATGACTTACCCTACATAAAACCATTCTGAGTTTTGATGGATTGTGTTTGGACTTTCCAAATGTCCCATTAATACTTTCTTAATAATGGATTCCAACAATCTCCCAATGACAGACGTTAAAGAAACTGGTCTAAAGTTTCCTCCTTGCTGCTTGCTCTGCTGTGCCGTGCCGCACCCCCCTCCCACAACCTTTTCTGAATCAGGGAATAAATGCACTTTTCAAATCCACTGGAATGTTCTCCACATTCATCAACTTTGCAATATTATAACCTGTGGATCCATTACTTCTGCTGCCACTTCCTTTAAGACCCTAGCATATAGGTTATCAGACTCTGAGGATTTGTTTACTTTCAATCTTAACACTTTTTGCACTGCTTTTTCCCTAGTGATGGCAATTCTTTTCAGTTCCTCATTTTCTATAACCTCTGCTTTATCTGTCACTATTGGGATGGTTTCAGTACCTGCCATCATAAAAACGGAGGCAAAATATTGATTTAGTGTCTCTGCCATTTCTGTGTTCCCCATTATTAACTCCCCAGTCTCATCCTCTAAAAACCCACGTTCATTTTATCTGTTCTCTTCCTTTTCTATATAGAAGCTTCTGCTATCTGTTTCTTTATTTTTATTCTGGTTTTCTCTCATAATTAACCTTTGCTGTTTTTTACTAAGCCCTTGTTGGTCTCTAACAGATTGCCATCCTCCAGCCTGCTATTGACTTTTGCAATCTGGTATACCTTAGTTTTTAACCCTTGTGTTATATTTAACTTCCTTGCTTAGCCATGAATGCTTTTTACCCCACTTACAATTTTTCTTTCTCACTGGAATTTTTTTTAAGTTGGGAGGATTTGATTATCTCCTT